GTGTGTGTGTGTGTGTTTATGTGTGTTTATGGTGTGTGTGTGTGTGTGTGTATGTGTGTTTATGGTGTGTATGTGTGTTTATGGGGTGTGTGTATGTGCGTGTGTGTATGTGTGTTTATGGTGTGTGTTTATGGTGTGTGTGTATGTGTATGTGTGTTTATGGTGTGTGTGTGTATATGTGTGTGTGTGTGTGTGCATGTGTGTGTATGTGGTGTGTGTATGTGTAGTGTGTGTTTAGTGTGTGTGTGTGGGTGGGTGGGTGGGTGCGTGCATGCATCTGAAACTGGCTGAGACCCACAACAAAATGGAAGGCTGTTTCTGATTCTGAGAATCTACAGTTGCAGGGAACAACTGCTCTACTGAACAGGTAAAATGCTTCTTGCCAAGGGATTTAGTTGTGCTACAACGAGCAAGCAGTAAGCTTTGGGTATTGTACCTCATGGCCAAACTACTCAACAATTTGCAGTTTAGGGGTGGTGGTCACTGGATGAGCACCATACTCCAAGTGAGAGTACAAAGAAATAGTGTAGCACTGACTGAAGACTGATTTAAGGGTCCCCTGCTAACCTTGGGCTAAGTACACTTAAAGGTGTTGACTCACCGGGATGGGGCCGGTCAAACCAGGCTTCTTTTTTGTCTTGACTGTTTTTCTTATGAGTCCAGGAATGCCCTCTCAACGTGCCAGATATTTGGATCATAGGGTCATTCAAAATAGAAAATATCCCATACATACTTCCAAGCTGCCAGACACCCCATGCCAACAGCTCACATGAACTACTCTAGTGTGGCTGCAGGTACCCTGTGTCTGTGTGGCTTGTGTTTCTGCATGGTCCACAATTCTCTTGGGATGGGAGTAAGTGGTAGGAATTTGGGCAAGAAAACAGGTCTTTAGGTTAGGAAGATAACATGACTAAAAGCTGATGATGTCATTCCAGATTCAAGAGACTGAATTCAGAGAGAAGACAGAGAAAAGAAGGAGTAGCACTCTGTGTGTCTGTATGCACAAATCCAGGTATGTTCACACTTGCACGTACATACTCGTAGGATATGTGTGTATGTGCATATATGTATGTGCATTGCACACCTGCATGTGAAGGCCAAAGTCTGAGGCTGGGTATCCTCCACAGTTGCTCTCCATTTTCTGAAAAAGGGTGTCTCACTGGACCCAGAGCTGGATAACTCAGCTAGTCCAGCTGGCCAGATAGTGCAAGGAATTGCCTGCCTCTCCTCTGACTCCCAACTCCAGTGTTGCCGGCCTGGGCAGCATACCAGATGTTATGTGACTCCAGTGACTCCAGTGTTGCACACCTGTTGCTTCCTAGAAAATGCACACACTCCCTGGGAGAGAAAGGACATCGCAGAGAGGGTTGACTGTACAGGGATGGGGAAGGAGACATTACCCTGAATCTGGAGGAATTGGTATAAGGGTATATTTATTCTTTCACTAAAGTGACTTAAAATGGATTCTTTACTTGTTATTTATATCAGGATACAGGTTAGAAGCTCAGATGTGGACTGGATGCTCAGTGGCTAACAGCACTGGCTGCTCTTCCAGAGGACTTGGATTCAGTTCCCAGCACCCACATGGCAGCTCACAGCTGTCTGTAACTCCAGTTCCAGTGGATCTGGCAGCCTCACACAGACACACATGCAGGTAAAACACCAATGCATATGACTTTTTAAAAAAATAATAAATCTATTTTATAAAGGTTAACTCAAATGCTTTATTCCTTTCACTATGGTGTTAAGCTGGACTCAGGTCCACCCTGGCAAAAAAAAAATGTACTACAGGAAGTATAGGCTATAAGTTCCTGCTTCCTTACTCCTTTATTTATTTATTTTAATTTTTTT